TGATAGAAACTTTCGATGGCAATCAAACCATGAAGTTTTCCTCCCGTTTCAAAGGGTGAAAGCATAAGAATTTTTCATACAATACGAACATGCTCGTCTTACCCACAGTACTCCAACCAGATAACATTGAATATGCAGAAAAGTCACTAATTGTCCACATGACAAGCAGCTCTCATTTGAAAATTATCTTTACGTGACACATCATAAGTAAGAGCACCTACTTCCCATAATTCTATCAACTCTTTAATTAAGGGTTGTAAGTATACGTCTAAATTGATTTTAGGGTTCTTAGGACTGTGGACAATAACGCTTAAGAACATATATTCTTCTTTCATACATTTCCATGGTGGCAAATTCTATGGCGTTACAATGACGAGCCACGAAGAATATTGTTGTCCGTACTTACCAAACGGTTGAAACCCATCGATGCAAACACCTAATCTAACATTCCTAATTTCGATGCAAAAGAAGGATGTGTTTGGTCAAAATGTTGCCATGCGAAGGAGTCCGAACAATGATGCATGACGTTAGGCTCACACACATGTCGCGCATGCCATGTCATATCATTAGCGGTGGCATTTGATGCATACATCCTTTGTAATCGTGGGGTTATCGAAAAATAACACATTTTTTGTAGGGGACAAATGTTTGTCTAATCGAACCCCGCGTAGGATTTCGATATCGAGGATGATCACATATTTTACAAGAGATTCTCTGGCTGTCCCGACCCCAATAAATCATGCAACCATTAATGCAACAATGGATCTTTTCAACGGGCAAACCCATCATTTCTATCATTTTTTTGTACTATAAAAGTCTTCCGGCATACGGTTATCGGGAGGCATCAACTCTTTCATAAGTTGACATAAATCGTCATAACACCTCTCCGAAAAATGATGCTCGAACTTGAGATGCAACAAACGAGACATTGCGGATAACTGCGAATGGTTTTCTCGACCTGAGCCATATTTCTCTATTCGATACATCTAATAAATCATAAAATGCTTCGTGCGTAAGGGTTTGGGTCTTCGTCTATGTTAGACGGATTAAAAGATGGATCACTCGCATCCATCATCATCGTGTGGTATCGATTAACTTGATGATCATTACATATTTGTTCTTGTTCAACATTATTAAACGAATTGGCATTAATTGCTAAATCATTCTCTCCATGACGTCTCCACACATAATACCCGGACACAAACCCATATCTAAGCAAATGATACTTAACAGTATCGTGGTTTTCATAACTACGATTTTGATATTTTTTTTGTTTACATGGACATCGTATCTTATTTCCATCCATGCATCGTGGATGACTAACCGCAAAGTTAATAAATTCATTAACCCCTTCTACAAAACGCTCATTTAATAATCCACCAGTTAATCTAAAGTCAATCCAAGAGCGATCCAAATTCATTTTAAACAAAATAGTTATAAAGTAATTATATTAATTGTTTATGTAATTACTTAAATTACTTTTATTACTAAATCTAAAATCTTTTTTTGTTACACACAAGTTATTTTCTAAATATATAAACAACCTAAGTTTAGAAAAAAATGTTAAATAAAACTTAATTATTTATTTAATTACTAACAATTACAAATATTTCCTATAATTTTATTTTTTACCCATTTAAAATTTATTTCAGAAAAGTTTTTAAATACAACTTAATTATTTATTTAATTACTAACAATTACCAATATTTCATATAATTTTATTTTTTATCTATTTAAAATTTATTTCAGAAATTGTTTTAAATACAACTTAATTATTTATTTAATTACTAACAATTACAAATATTTCCTATAATTTTATTTTTTATCTATTTAAAATTTATTTAAGAAATTTTTTAAATACAACCTAATTATTTATTTAATTACTAACAGTTACAAATATTTCCTATAATTTTATTTTTTATCTATTTAAAATTTATTTAAGAAAATTTTTTAAATACAACTTAATTATTTATTTAATTACTAACAATTACAAATATTTCTTATAATTTTATTTTTTATCTATTTAAAATTTATTTCAGAAAATTTTTAAATAAAACTTAATTATTTATTTAATTACTAACAATTACAAATATTTCCTATAATTTTATTTTTTATCTATTTAAAATTTATTTCAGAAAATTTTTGAAATACAACTTAATTATTTATTTAATTACTAACAATTACAAATTTTTCTAATAATTTTATTTTTTATCTATTTAAAATTTTTTTAAGAAATTTTTTTTAATACAAATTAATTATTTATTTAATTCCTAACAATTACAAATTTTTCTAATAACTTTATTTTTTATCTATTTAAAATTTATTTCAAAAATGTTTTTGATACAAATTAATTATTTATTTAATTACTAACAATTACAAATATTTCCTATAATTTTATTTTTTTATCTATTTAAAATTTATTTCAGAAAAGTTTTTAAATACAACTTAATTATTTATTTAATTACTAATAATTACAAATATTTCCTATAATTTTATTTTTTATCTATTTAAAATTTATTTCAGAAATGTTTTTAAATAAAACTTAATTATTTATTTAATTACTAACAATTACAAATATTTCCTATAATTTTATTTTTTATCTATTTAAAATTTATTTTAGAAAATTTTTGAAATACAACTTAATTATTTATTTAATTACTAACAATTACAAATTTTTCTAATAATTTTATTTTTTATCTATTTAAAATTTTTTTAAGAAAATTTGTTTTAATACAAATTAATTATTTATTTAATTCTTAACAATTACAAATTTTTCTAATAACTTTATTTTTTATCTATTTAAAATTTATTTCAAAAATATTTTTTAATACAAATTAATTATTTTTTTAATTCCTAACAATTACAAATATTTGTAATAACTTTATTTTTTATCTATTTAAAATTTATTTCAAAAACGTTTATAAATACAAACTTAATTATTTATTTAATTCCTAATTATAATTACAAATATTTCTAATAACTTTATTTTTTATTTATTTAAAATTAATTTTAGAAAATTGTTTTGATTTATTTTGTACTAACCTAACGCTTTAACTTAATGAACTAGGAATTACTGAAATTAATAATGTTTTCAATAAATTGTGAATTACTTAAGTAAATTAACAATTATTAGCTACACTAATAACAATCAATAACAATTTAAATAACAACATAAAATAAAATATAACAATTATATTTTCTAACAAAAAAATTTAACAATAAATTAAAGTAAGTAAATTAACAATTAACAATCAAATTAATTCAATCAACAATTAAAAAAAATAACACAAAATTAAAAAGTTAACAATAATATTCAATTAATCAATAATTAACAACAACATTAACATAACAATTAACAATTAAACATTTCAATTAACTCTCACAATTTACACTAAAATAACACACAAAATAAATTTTAATTAAATAATCAAATTAAAAAAACACATGCAATAAACAAACAATTCAATAATTAAACTAGCAATAATAAGTAATTAAAATAAAATTAAAATAAAATCTAATTATTTGACATAAATAAATAACTGAAAAAATTAATAATTGAAAGGATGGTTTAGATTTAGGTGGACTTGTCACCAAGAGAAGGAGGGGGAGAAACCGTCGGAAAAAAGCCTCATCGGAATATGGTCGTCGAAAAACGACGACTTCAACGGAAGAGAGAACTTGAAAGGAGGAGGAAAAGAGGGAAGAAATATGGAGATTTTAAGGAAACAATAGCTTTGAGGAGAGAGATCAAAGGATTGGAGAAGAAAAAGGCGAGAGATGTCGCTACCGGAGGAGAAGAAGAGAGGAGAAGAAAACCAAAAAATGGCGATTCCAATCGACCGATATTTATAGAAGGGTAAAGTTTTTAACGACGGTCACGGATCGTCGCTAAAAGTAAATTCGAAATTTAATTTGATCGTTTTCCACCAACGGTTTACTTTTAGCGACGGTCTCGATCGTCGCTAATTTAACGTTTGCAACGGTTATTTTTGTAACCGTTAAAATAATAAAATCAAATTACGAACGGGTTAGCGACGGTCTAAGACCGTCGCTAACCCGTTTCCCAAGTTGATTTGGCGACGGTTTAGCGACGGTCAAACGAATATTTTGGCAACGGTTTAATAACACCAAACCGTTGCTAATTTTCCTTTTTGTAACGGAATAGCGACGGTCTATGACCGTTGCTAAAGTTATTTTTTATTTAGGATTTTTTTTTATAAAACCGTTGAAAAAATATTAAATAATATGTACCAACGGTTTAGCAACGGTTTAGATCGTCGCTAAAGTTATAAACCGTCGCTAAAAGTGTTGGCCTATAACATTAGCAACGGATTGGTGGACCGTTGCTAAAACCGTCGTAAATTTTAATTTTTGTAACCATTTTTTAGACCGTTGCTAAAGTGTAGAAAATTGTTGCTAATCTAAGTCTTTAGCGACAGCTTTTTGACCGTCGCTAAAACCTATTTTTGTTGTAGTGTATGTACAATAGGAAATGATTGGATTTACAGAATATTGCACACTAAAGTTAGGAGATAATAAAGAAATATTATTTTTGTTCGATTTTATTAGATATTTGGTATATAAATTTATCAAGCTGTTTTTTTATTTAAATATATACACTTTAAGTTTGCTATTTAAATGAACTAATTTGTAATTGTCGTTAACTCTGCTATACTATCCTGAAATAAATATACTAAACCATTTTTTTATTGGTAAAAGTCCGTAAAAGGTTTGGATTTTGAATCCCAAATGATTTGCCAAATTTCAAAAAAATAAAATTTATATATAAATGAGAAAATTTTATTGATAAAAAAAGATGCTCGTTATACTACAAAGCAATCAAATATCTAAGAAATTAGATAGGATGATGTGATTCCCTTTCCTTCTATTAATATTCTCACTCTATAGTTTCGTGAAGTGATAAAACCTTTTTTTTTTTTTTTTTGCCAAATTGATGCAACCGCCTTTTCTGCCCAATGCAAGGGAAAGGGAAAATGAAGTCAGAGGACAAGACCAAATCCAGGTGACGCTGCATTCTCCCTGGCCAAAACCATCAGACATTTTTGTAAATTCTCCACAATCACCCATTTCTTTCTCCGTTTCCATCCATAAACCTATTCTTTCCATCCCCACTACCTTCTCAACACCGAACCTCAACTTATTATTACCACAAAGCAATGCAACCGCATTAAGCGAAACAAAACTAACATTGACAATATCAATAGCACCACTACATCCCTATCACCAAGAACGACCTGAGATGGAAGCTCTATAAATGGCCCAAACACTCTATGAGACTGATGTAACACTGCTACCCATTCACTCCTTGTCAATGTCGAACCTCTCGTCAAAACATCCTCTATTACCAGCACTATATCAGGCTTAAATAATAAAAAGATTTCTGGTTCACATCTAAAAAATTAAGGTCATTATTTATTCTAATTAACCATTAAAATTTAATTATTATTTTTTTTACAAAAAAAAAAAAAAAAAACAGAGAGAGTATAATTATCATTACCTTGAAGAACTTGGACATGTAATAATCTCTAAAATAGAGGTTAAAAAAATTGCTGTTTAAACGCCCAACATCTGGGTTGTTTTGAGTGGGAAGTTGAGAGGGAATTTGAGAGGCTCAGAGCAAGGCACGAGGACCAACTTCTGCTACGATTTCAAGCACACCTACTTCTGTTGCTTCTTTGAATACCGTAGGCAGAGTTGATGCACTTGCAAGTTGCGCGGCATACAAGAGAGGATAGTCCTCGTCGTTGCGTGAGGTTGCCATTTGGTTTTCCTTGGAAATTGGCTTGGTTCTGGCTTTGAGTAAGAATATAAATGAAATACAGACAGTTTGCTACATAGAATTTTCTAGGTAATACATACAAACCTCCCGTCTCTTCACTTGTTCTTTAATACAAAATGAAGAACTTAAAGAGAGTGATCGAAAAAATTGAGAGGCGATGGAGTATAGTTTCATAATTTTTGTATTTTATTTTTATTTTTTTACGTATCAAATTAATCATGTGTTATGTCATGTGAAATTTTTTATGTCAGCATGAGGTTTTGTTAGTAAAATTAACAGAAAAATAGTTTGAAGAATCACATTAAAAAAAAAATCAAGAATAAAAGAAAGTGATAAATAAAAAAATAAATATAAGAGCAACATTTAAAAAATCAAAAGAATAAAAAATAAAATTAATGAGATTAACTGTAAACATTATTCTTGTTTATGTTTATTTATTATGAGTACTGACAATAAGGTTTACAAATGGTGCTTTTGGAGGATGATTGTTAGGATGGATGGATAAGAATTACCTCCGAACTAATAATATTTCATTTTGTTCTTTTTACTAAAAAAACACAATCAAATAATGTTTTATTATCTGATCTTCCATCACTTAATTATTATTATTATTATTATTATTATTTGCACGGACTCTTCAATTTATTGATGCACTGTTCATTCCTAAACATTGCATTTTAATGCTCATAACAGTTGCTCTTGTAACAATTCATTTTCATATACCACAAGAAATCGAAGTTGAATTCATTGCCAGGGCCAAAACTTTAGAAGAATAGTTTAAATTCACATCAAAACATAATAGCATGTACATAACCTTTTCAAATTAAAATCAGTAGAGTAGTATGTTAGCCACTAAGAAAATATGACAAAAAAGGAAAATTTCAACAATACACATGGACCCTTGGATCATGATTTTAAATGAAATCCAATTAATGGTCTTACTAATTAAACGGTATCAATATATTTTTAGAGTTTTTTTTTGTTATATATATATATATATTTCTTTTGGTTCGTTTTGACAGTTAAGAATAGCTTTTTTTGTACCTTTTTTCTATTGTATTCTATCTTATCATATCACATTCTATTATACCATATTTGATAATTCTTCGTTTCATAATCTGAAGCTATTTACAACTAACTAATTAAGAATTTTCAAATGTGTTAATACTAGTAAGTGCATCAAAGAATAGTCATCGATTCTCCCACATGATCACAATTACCGCAAACAAATATATTAATTTAATGACGAAAATGCATTTTTGCTATGCCATTGATATTTTTACTTGCTATGTTATTCTGCCCAAGCTTGGTTGAGGAAAAATTATGGGACATAAAAAAAATGTTATTCGGTTTAGACATATTATATGAAAAGATTTTTCATTAACGATACAAATAAATTTATTATAAATAAAAAAGAAATAAAAGAAAAAGAAAGCTTTTTTTTTTTAAAGAAACAGGGGCAGTAACTTGATAAATATATTGAAAAAAGAATGTGAAAAAATACAAGGGGGATAAACCAGCCTAGCTCAAACATTTTGGCAGGACAAGGTAACCTTAGCTCCTGAAAATCACAGAATCTAGTCTGATCTATAATATTACAAGGCTATGATAACTCTATGCTATGCCCGATAATTATAAAAGCCCAAATTGTCATCCTGAATTGCAACTCTGCAAGTAAAAGGCAATGCTTGTATATTTGTAACTATCTTGTGAGCAGAATGCTGGTATGCCCAGGCTACTAGTCTATCAGCTGCTATGTTATCTTTTCTTAACGTGCGTCGAATTGTCGTATTTAGGTGAATGAGATCTCTCCAGTCTCGAATAATATATTGTAGTTGCCAAGGATAAGATATTTCCTTAGATAAACACCTTAATACTAATGTGGAATCCGCCTCTACTATATCTACTGGAAGGCCTTCTGCCTTGCAAATTTAATAAAGCCAAAGCCTCCCTTTTGAGTTGGTTCCAGCTCCATAAAACTTTGAGTAAGCCATTATCGCATTACCCCTGTCATCTCTTAACAAACCTTCCTCACAACAATTATTATTTCTTCAAGCACCATCCGAGTTCAGTTTAAATTTACATGTTGGAGGACATTCCCATTTAATCCATTTGCCCCTGCAACATACCGTTTGTTGCACCCTTATTCTCAAAGCCCTCATGCCTATCTTATCATGGAATCCTAAACTAGTCGCAGGTTGAAACAAATAGGATAATTCATAAATCCATTTGTTAATCTTGAATTTGATGATCTACTGGTTCATAGGTTCTCCTTCAAATATAGCTTTATTCCCTGCAACACATATCTCCCACAAACCACAATTAAAAACAACCATGCAAGCAAACTGTTTTTGATTTCGGGGTTTACCTTTTCCTAGCCATCTCCTAGCCAGGTGATGAATATCATTTGTTCCTGTTGCTATGTCAAGAATTTTTGCAAAATGCTTCCATATCTCCTTAGCCACCTCATCTTGGATGAATAAATGCTTGACAGATTCTCCCCTTGGATTCTTGCAGCAATGACATCTAGATGCCATAGAAATACCACATGCCATAATGTTAACTTCCACTGGCAAAGCATTGTTAAATACCTTCCATGCCAAGATTCTAATTTTACGTGGAATCCACTGGTTCCAAATGCTTTCCCACTACTCAAATTTTGCTGCCTTGAATCTCCTTTCCTCATGATAATCTTTGGTGCTAAAATGAATTGACTTAGAACCTGTGTATATCAACTTATCTGGAGTATGATCTTGAATATATACTTTGTCCAGTTCCACACGCACCTTGGGGGGGGGGGGGGGCGGGGCCGGGGGGGGGGGGGTGGGGAGGGGAAGGGGGGCGCAGAGATAAATAAGTTTGCATTTGTTGCTTAGCTTGGCCAACTGTAATGTGCAAATCTCCAATGGGTTGAGGTAATTCTGTCTCAGATCACCTATCTTTCCACAAGTTGACGGTTCCATCTCCCACCATCCATATTGATTGATTCAACAGATAACAAGTGTGAGGATGAAGAGTTTTCCATATCATCGAGCCTTTCTGTAACCTGAGTTGCCCCGTATGAGAGGGAACTCCATATTTTCTTTTCATAAACTAGCTCCACAGAGATGATCATGTTAGGAAGGACCAGGTCAGCTACCCTTTCACAGAGTTCATCACCTCATGGATGTTTCTGATTCCTAGCCCCTCTCCCTCATGGATTGGAAGGGAGATAGCCTTCCAGTTGATCCAATGGTGCTTAATGTCATCCTTATTATTCCAAAAGAAGTTGGAAAAGTGACTTTGCATTCTAGCAACCATTGTTTTAGGAATTGGCAGCACCCCACATGAAAAAGAAAGCCATTCTATTTCCACAAAATACTCTCTCTCTCTCTCTCTCTCTCTCTCTCTCTCTCTCTCTCTCTCTCTCTCTCTCTCTCTCTCTCTATATATATATATATATATATATATATATATATATAAACGCATAAAATCTTTCTTAAAAAACTAAAAAACAAAAAGGGATTCTCTTCAAATAACTATCTTTTTTTTTCCTAAAATTTTGTATTTTTAAAGTACTTGATTAAAAACCTGAAGTATCCTCAGTTATTATCTAATAAAAGCTTAGCAATACAAAGTGGTTTTATTGTTTATCTCAATATCACAAGCAAAATATGAAATTTTCTCTCTCAATTTACAAAAACTAAAATTTCAAGCTGCAAATAGTAGGTATTTGATTTAAGATAATAAAGGTTTCTCCTCCCTCCCTCAAGTTTCTAGATTTTTCCTTTTGCATTTATAATGAGTAATTCATAAATTAGTCTCTTCGGTTTAAAAAACCAAATTAATTAATCTTTTTTATTTTAAAAATTAATTATTTAATTTTTTAAGTTTTAATTCTTTGAAAAATGGTATTTTCATCAATTTTTTGACTTTTCAAATTGTCCTTTTTTATGTCTTATTTATTTTCTTCGTTCATTACTTTTTTATTTGTTAAAACAAGTAATTCGAGAACACAAATCACAAGTCTAATAAAAAATTGATAGAAAAAATTAAATTATTGGCAAAATTAAACGAGAGTAACTGACTAATTCATAGATTACTCCCTCCGTAAGAATAAACTAACTTTTCGAAGATTTTGAAAGATAAGCCTTGAATTTAACCAGCCTTGACATCCACGAAAGACCCAAGCAAATTAGGATTTGTTCAAAGTAGAAACAAAGGTGCATCACCAAAGAAAGTTCCAAAACCCTACCCACTTGTGCGTACCGCTGTCACCTACCCACCTCATTTCCTCACCCTACATAAACCCCCTCCTCATTCTTTCTCCCTCATCCTTCAATTTCAAAATCCTTCTTAAACCCTATTCAAGTCTTCTTCATTACTCCCTACTCCCTCGTCTACTTTACTTTGATATCAACAGATTTGTCAAGAGATTTTTTCTTGCTTTTTTTGGTTAGCTAATTGAAAAGAGATGTGTGGCGGTGCTATTTTAGCTGACTTCATCCCTCGTAATCGAGACCACCGCGGGGCAGCTTCTGAGTTCTGGCCTAACTCATCCTTCAACAAACTCGGTCCCTTTGAGTCCTATCCGAGCCCACTCTGCAACCAGGAGTCATTCACTCCCAAACGACCCCGACCACAACCCCAACCCAGCTCAGGTATGTACCAGTCTCTCTCATTTCATTTCTTGTTATTGTTGTTTTTCTTTCTTTTAATGTTTCAAAGAAGTTGATTTTGAATGTGGAATTCATGCAAAAACAGGAGATCATGAGCAAGCGGAGAAGCCCAATGCCAAGAGGCAGAGGAAGAATCTATACAGAGGCATAAGGCAACGACCTTGGGGTAAATGGGCAGCTGAGATTCGTGACCCAAGAAAAGGAGTCCGTGTTTGGCTCGGTACCTTCAACACTGCCGAGGAAGCAGCTCGAGCCTACGACAGAGAGGCTCGCAAAATTCGCGGCAAGAAAGCCAAAGTTAATTTTCCTAACGAAAATGACCATCACTACACCATTTTCCAAAATTCGAACACCAAGCCTCCTCTGTACCAAACTCCCACTTGTCATTTCTCAAATGGTTATGATTTTGGGAACGGTTATAATGTAAACCAGATCGAAACCTACCCTTCAAATGGTTTTATTAGCGAACCAATTGTTGCTTCTGGGGAGGATGATTCTGGGTCCGGTTCAGAGGAGGTAACAGGATTGGTGGGCTGTAATCAGAATGTGGAGATTAATGATTATATGGGTCGAGTGAAGGTGGAAGTGGAAGAAGAGGAGAAGTTGAACAATGAGGAGGTGGTGGTGGTGGATTTCGAAACTGGAGAGGAAGAAAATGAGTTCCAGCTGCTGACTGAGGAGTTAATGGCGTATGAGAATTTCATGAAGTTTTATCAGATTCCCTATCTGGATGGGCAATCAACGGCACCAAATTGTACTACCCAGGAAAGCCTTGTGGGTAACCTTTGGAACTTTGATGACGATGGTGTTGCTGCCCCTGCTTTGGCACCTCTGTAACGGCGACGGCAGCATCTACTTTTTTCTTTTTTCTGGGTTTGTAAATTGGGCAATTGATGATTAATTATGTTTTGTTTTTGGATTGTTTTGTTTCAATGAATTGAAATTGAACTCCTTGAATTTGCTGTCAAAATGTAAATTTTATGCGTTAACTGCTAATTAATGGAATTTTCATCCTTCAAATTCGTGTTTTTATTTTGCACTTGGTAAGATCAGATTCTGAAGTGGCAAAGGTTCTCGAAGTATTTGAATTTCAGTGATAAAGAAGTGAATGGATCGCGAAACAGACATATTTTCGAAATCTAACAAACAAACTCCGAGCGCCACAAAAGACTTTGAACCGTCAGGATCTCCTGCTTTATGCATGCATTCCCTTGAGACAAGCAAAATTGTTAAGGATGAATTTTTCATAAAATTCCTCACAAGTAGCAAATCATGACTTTAGTATTCAGATCCCAAAAAATGGTACCAATGAATGAATAATTATTAGTATATAATTGTTTGGAAATGGGAAGGCAGTAGAAAACTGGGGTCAAAAGTGTCAAGCGGAGAGGTTGAGATTGGAGATGTTAAACGCGGCAAAGTGGTCGTTGGCATGTTGTGGACAACAAGTGGGGTTGGCAACTTGGAAGCTAAGGTGGTAAATTTGGAACACTTCCAACTGCGCCGATGGTTTTGGATTTCCTTTCTTTGGCTACCAAACTAACTAACCACTTGCGAGCACTGTGGGCGCCCCTAGCTTATGCTTTATAAACTTGTACTTGCCACTACTATTCTTCACTTCGTACGCATAGACAGACAGAACGCAGTACATACTGTCATGCAAATGTGCTCTTTGCTGCGCAAAATGCCCACGTGTGGACCATGAATACTGTTGTACGGTGGACGTGGACCCATGGGACAACTTTTGCACGCGGTAAAAACTCGGTGACATAGAGCATGGGATCAGGGATGAGTATAAAATAAAATTACTCGAATTATCCGACTTAGGTCGGGTAAAAACTTGTTAAAAGTTTTCAGAGAAGTAGATGATATATATATATATATATATATATATATATATATATATCAGAATCATAGAGATCATAATATTTTTTTTTCATTTTCAATTTATGAAATTTTAAAATCAGTCCATCATTTTTTCTTATATCCCATATTTCCAGTACCTAATTTCATGCTTGAATTAAATATAGCATTGATTTTCAAACCAAAATAAAGAAGGTGGGGGTTGTTTCGGTCTTTTTATCTATTTTTTAATTATTATTTTATTATTTAAACAAGATTTTTATTTTGGTTATGAGTCATAAAATTATATGTCAATCACTGATATATGAAATCTAACAATAACATTTTACATTAAATTAAAAATAGACTGTGTCATAAAGATTGGTCTCAAGCAAAAAAATATTAAAAAAAAAAAAACTCAATTCAAAATACGTATAGGAGCAAAACCCTATCCTAAATTCTCAAACTGATCCCTTCCACTAACTCCAGCAGTCAACCACAGTCCCACACCCCTGAAATCCCACACGGATCAGAGAAACAGAATAAAATAGCTGAGAACAAATCAACACAAGCTATAATAATATATCAGTACGAGAAAAAAGCAATGCCAAGGTGTGCTAGTGCATAAGCGGCTCATTTCATCCAGCAAAATACAGCATAAACGATGAATCAATGGCATTTGAGCTCAGAACCTTTTAAGATAAATCACAGCCAAATACAACTAACTACGAAGTGATTTGTAGGGTGCATTAATATATAACTAATGTCATCTTCTTTGGTTACACATTAGCCCGATATTGCGTCCACGCCTCCAAGCAATTCATCAACATCTTCATTTGCAATGAGCCCCCAAACAATACCTATCTGCTTCTACAGGTACCTAAAGACTTCTTTGATAACGTGGATTGGAAGAAGCAACCACATCACCATCTCTGAACAGAGGCTTATGTCCAATGAGATCTCCACTTCCATGATTTGCTCGCCCTCTAGACGCAGCTTGGTGCACAGATGGATCATCTGGATTGTTGCAGAGTCCAAGTTTGACAATGAAAGTAGCCACAGTACCTTTGTCGAGGCCTTCACTTTCTATCCATATATGGCCCCCCATGAGAGTTACAAACCTGATTCCCATAATTTGAGACAAAGAAAACAGGTAAAAAACCTGTTAATTTCATAGATGACGAGACTGTGCTAAAAAAGAATGATATAACAACTTCTAAAAACTTTGCAAGGCAATGTAAGGAAAAGTTTTTAGCTCTACCGTTTGCAAATGGCAAGTCCAAGTCCCGCACCACCATTACTTCGACTAGATCCACTTCGCAGCTGAGAAAATTTAGTAAAAAGGAGCGGGACATCTTGTGGGAGAAAACCACAGCCAGAATCCTTAACCTGTAGCAACCAACATGATAAAGTTAACAACAAACTTGACCACATTCCAAACAACCTACAAGGATGAAGCATGCAGAAAATGATGCATTGATTAATATCCAACTTGCGTATATATGCTTGCACTAAGGTTTCATATAAGCTAATCATGTTAGACAGTATAGCAGTCTGAAAGACTAGAATCCAAATAGTTGTCAAGAAACTGCCAAAACTGCAAGTCCATAACATACCAAGAAATGCCTTTAACCTTATAAATGTTTGCTATCTATTATCAGTCTGAAATACTAGAATCCAAATAGTTGTCATGAAACTGCCAAAACTGCAAGTCCATAACATACCAAGAAATGCCTTTAACCTTATAAATGTTTGCTATCTATTATTAACAAGAATGGAACACTATTCTACAATTATCTGAGCAAAACCACAATGTACTAGTCAAAAACCTGCACTCGCAGATAGAAGTGGCCATCACTCCGCATCGGGTAGAAGTCAGGTGGCTGCCAGTCTCTCAAAGAATCTGGTTTTGCAACAGAAACTACAATTGAAACATAACCCTCCTTCGTGAACTTGACAGCATTGCCCGCAACATTCAAAATAGTTTGCTTAAGCCGTTTCTCATCACCAACTCCACATGCAGGCAAATCTGGGGCCATAATTAAAGTCATAGACAGCCTTTTAACAGATGCTATGGGCTTTATCAAATTAACAACCTGCATTTACAGAAGAAAAAAGAATAGATAGTGTTACAGCAATGCTTCTATGCACAGTGCCAACTTGTATTGAATTCCATAAGTGTATGTCGAAAGTAGAAAACATAGGGATTGTCACCTCTCTGAAAACCTCTTGAAGATTAAATGTCTGAAGTTCTAAGTCTAAGCTTCCATCTTCAAGCCTTGAAAGATCTAGCACATCATTAGTAAGTGTTGCCAAGAGGTTACTGCTCTTTAATACTGTCTCAACCATTGCTCTTTGTTCGGTAGTTAGTTCAGTCTCTAAAAGAAGTAAAGACAAAGCAATAATCGCATGCATCGGTGTTCTCATCTCATGATTCATGACGGCAAGGAAATCATTCCGAGCATGTATTGCCATTTCTGCTTCTTGACGAGCCGATTTTAAAGCAACATTCTGCTCCATTAGCTGATCACGTGCCCGCATAGACTCTTCAAGAATAGCAGCATGAGAAAGAGCGACTGCTACCTGACGAATGCCAAAAAAAAGATTTCAACATTGAACAACATGCATGGAGTACAGTTTAAGTTTCAAATTATGGCACATACAATAGTCTTGCTTACAAACATATTATGCAAGGAAGGAAAACAAGGAATTGTAAATAAAGGTGTAGTGAGATGGTGCCCAAAATGAAACATGACTACCAAAAAAGATATTTGTGATGTTCATCATTCTCATTGTGCTCAACATAACGGCATATGACAGCAGGTAGTTAGCTGGCAAAGATGAGAAAATCTGAAGTGCCAACAGTTGGTTTCTTTTAATTTTTCTTTTCTTATTGCAGCAGTAGGAATGAAAGAGGCGGGAAGCTCTCGCTTCTCTAATGCAAGCTTACTGTTTACTTTTTGTCTTTTTTCTTTTTTCATTTATGAATGACTTTATGCAGTTATGAATGGCATTGTACGCATTGGACATTTTCACACCAAAGAAACAACATGACTAAACCACATGTTCCAACTGGAAATGCCAAAACCAAAACATTAAGCTCGGCAATGAGACACGCCACGCCTATGCAAATTTTCAATCCCTTATGTATAAAAGATAAGCTCGCAAATGAACTTTTATATGCTAGCTTTTCCACCTATCATTCTATCTCATCATTTCATGAAGCTTATATGCAAACAAGATGTGTGAACTACACAAACTAAAAGTGAATACAGCATGAGTATATGGAACATCTAAATAAGAACTTTCCAACATTTTCTATGATGCAGAAACAGAAAGAGAGCAATTAATTCATAAAAATACCTGGTCCGCTACAACGTCAACAAGTTCCAATTCATGTTCCCGCCACTTTCTAGCACTTTCTGTTGGTAGAATCAAAACCATGATTGCGTAGCTTTTTGCAGAGAGTTCAGGCCAATCATTAATTTGGAAATTTGACAGATGTAAAAGAGGTACACGAACAGCAACAACCTCTGGTGGCAAGTACCTACCTACAAGAGGCCTGATCCTAGCCAACGGGCATGTATATGGTATACGCTTTACTCGAGTACTACTGAAGACTTCATTGACTATAGGCAGATTTATAGGTACAGAAGATCCCACTTGTATTTGGTAGTTCAGGGTGTGAGAAAGTTGCAGATTCAAACCAGTTCTTGAAGGCATCCACAATGCGCATTCCTCAAGGCCTAAGGTCCTACCCAGCTCAACAAGAGTGGTTTTTAATATAGTATGCCTGTCAAGGGTGCTTCTAATTTCATGAGTCAGCATTCTAACATGCCTTCCAGTTTCTTCCTGTGTGAGAATAAGACCCATCTCCCGATCAAGTTGTTCAGCCTTATTCTTCAGCAATAATTCCCGTCTTTTAACACTCAGTAGATCAGGGATAATGTGGACCAGCATCAAAGCAGTTGCACATGATACGATAGCGCAAGCAATTTTTGCAACAGTCATCACCACAGCAACAGCTTTGGAATGCATCGAGTATGTCCACAAATTTATAAAGTGGGTTGCTCCACAAAGAACAATGAAGGCACCAAACTGCATAAGCACCCATCTGTATGGAAAGAATGCTGATTTTTGTACAAAGTATATAAGTTCGATAGGAATCGAGAAGTATGCGAAGGCAATTAAAACATCCGATATATACTGATATTTGACAAGAAGTTCTTCATGGGGCCATTGTGTATCAATGCAATCACAGGACTCCATCCTTCCAATAAATACCGCAGTAAATCTAAGGAAAAAAACCATCACAGAAAGCATTACAATAATAATTCCATCACCTAATAGATGATTTAACAGGTTAAAAACCACCACTCTTTCTTACTCTGCATATAATGTTGCCAAAAATAGTAAGAATCAAGAAATCTAAATGCCAATCAGGCAGCAACACATCTTTTCAAACGAAAAAAAAAAAAAATGGGAACTTTTTTAACGGAACTAATGAAAAATACCAATCCAATTACATAAAGGTCAAACTTAATTGTTTTGGCCTACAGCTCTTATCTCATAATTCTTTTCAAGTCACTTCATCAGTGTTCGTATTAATTACACATAGGTTGTGCGACAGCTAATAAGTTCGAAATAAAACTGCCAAATTAAGCTAGTATCAAATTAAAGGTGCGTTTTTTCAAAGCTAATCATGATCAAAACAGTGAGCAAGCAAAATCCACAGCTTTTTTCCACTGATAAGCATTCTAGATAATTACACATAAAGGCAAGTAGAAATAAAAAATCATAAGCAATTAGAAGAAAAGTTAGAAGATAATCATCGATATTTACCGGACGAGAGGAAGAAGAAAAGGATGACCAGAAAACAGTTACAGCAGAGGTTTGAGAATTTGATCTTAGCCGTCCATTTATAATGTGGAAGATCGCTCTCACGTTTATTGAGACGTTTTAAGAAGTAGGAAGCTGCAGAAGTTAAATATGGAGAGAAAAGAAGCAAAATAGTTTTTTCCTTTTTATAGTTCAAGAGAAAGAAGAAATGAGTAAAGTGGAGGGAGAGAGCAGCCTAAAAGCGTCACGGACAAGAAAGGAGGCTGACACGCGCGAATTCAAAGACACTGTACCACGTGAGAATCCTCCCTTAGATTTTTCATTAGATTAGATCTTATCTTCGTGATACGTGAATTAGATAAAATATATAAAATTATTTTAATTTGATAATTTATTTTATAGTATGAAGCTATAAAAATATATTAAATTAAAAATTAAAAAAATTATTTATAATTTTTAATAAAAAATTTGTATTTAATTATTTTATATTTGTGTTTTTCATAATTTTTTCTTAAAAAACATTTGTCCTTATTAATTCATAGATTATTAACTAAAAAGAAAATTAAATTTTTTTTAAAAAAGCTTTAGCATTTCATAAGATTGTGTTAAAAAAAATAACGATTATTAAAAGCTTATATAGAATTAAAAAAATATTTTTTTATTTTTATTTAATGTCAATGAGAATATCGATTTTTAAAAAATATGAATATCGAATTTACAAAAGAATGAATCATATTACAATAAATCAAAACTGTCAGTAAATATAATTTTAAATTAATTGAATGAGAATTTAAAAAAGATAAGTTAAAGTAGTAAATTTTAAATAATAAAAATAATTAACAAAAAACACCCAAAAAAAGGGGACTAAATCACAATACAATTAAAATTTGAAATTGAAAAAAAAATGTATAGAAAAATTGAGGACCATACAATTTTAAATTAATTGGATGAGAATTTTTTTTTTAAAAAAAAGATAAATTAAAGTATTAAATTTTAAATAATTAAAATAATTAAAAAAATATTAAAATAAAATGAAACCAAATTGCAATACAATTAAAGTTTAAAATTGAAAAAAATAGAAAAATTGAGGACCAAAGTGTTACAAAAATGCCATAAATAATGAAAGAAATAGTGATTTGTGAGTATATGAATAGTAATTTGTGAGTGTGTGAATAGTATTTCAAATAGTAAATGAATAGTAAAACTAATAGTTTTACTTTAGTTTTATGTATAATAATGTATAATGTATAATGTATAACATATAATATATGTAACTCCTATAAAAATCTTTACCTGTAACGCAACGTGTATTAGATTATTTCTATATATACATATATTAAATGTAAGTATAATTCTCATTTCACTATGAGAAATTAATGCTTGCAATGTGTGATTTATGTTAAATTAAAGTTATTATGTTTGAGATTAATAGTCTAATTCTTAAAGAAATCAATTATGCAAAATCGGTGTTTTGAGGCCTATATTCTGTCCGAATTTTGTGTGATTTATTTGAGGACTTTAGAGTGATTTCTGGATAACACTTAAAGAATAAAAGTTGTTCTTCTATGTGTCTAATAGCTATATTTAAAATTTCATAATTTTTAGATTTATAAATAACGAGTTATGTCCATTGTAGTACAGTTGGGTTTTGATGAAACACTACTTGGAATTTTGGGAAAAGAAATTCCTAATTTTGAGGGGGAAAGAAATGTTGGCTGATGAAAATAAGTTAGTAAGGGAATTTGTTAGTTGAATTACTTAGTTAGCTTAATTATACACCTAAACACTTGAATTAAAGTCATGAAAGCCAACTCACCAATTTGCCACCTCAACCTATCACCTTCACCATGACTCACCCATATACTTTACACTTTGTCCAATTACTTCAAGACACTTAGAGGCCCATTTAATGCAAAGCAAGGGAAGACATATATATATAGAGAACAAGAGGGAATGGCAGAGATTTTTTTAGAAAGGGATTATTAATCGCCAAAAGAGAGAAAAACGTAATTGAGAGGAAGAGAAATAAGGCAAAAAAAGAAAAAAAAAAGATAGGAAAGAAAGAAACAAGAAAAGGAAAGGAAAAGCTAAGGAAAAAGTCCTACTCAAATCCATCTAAGTAAGTGGGTTATCTTTATTGCTTTATGTCATGCAATTGATGTTATTATAAATGGTTAAGCTTGTGTTTCGTGTTGTGATGTGTTTGTTGATTTGATTATGTTGGTTAGGTTTTTCCATGATTGATAATTGACAATGGTTTGATTGTGATGGTTAGTTATGTGATTATTTAGTGAGTTTTGATTGTTTTGTATCTAGTAGATTCCATGTATGGATGGGTATGGCTAATGGATTTGGTTGACCTAAAACATGGTGGGTGAAATTGGGACATATATGGACTTGAATAAAAATGAAGTAGGAAGGAAGAAAAATGAAACTTTAGGGTTTTCATGAATAAAATTTACGGTAGACGGTTACACGGCCTCTCACATGGGCGTGTCTTTACCCATGTAATGACAAAATGTGTTTTTCTTAGAGGCGGAATGTTACACGGCCTCTCACACGGGCGTGTCCTTTCCCGTGTAATGACTAAATGTGTTTTTCTTCAAGTCGAGAGTTACACGGCCTCCCACATGGACGTGTATTTGCTCGTGTAGTGAAGAAATGTGTTTTCTTCAAGTCGGAGAGTTATACGGCCTCGCACACGGGTGTGTCCCGGCTCGTGTAATTCACTAGCCACTTAAAAGTCACCCTTTTTATTCCATACTTGTTCGGTTTCCATTCCTTTCACCAAGATAATATAATAAATGATTAAATAGGCTCAAATAGATAGAAAATGAAGGTAGAAAAGTATACTTTAATATATTTAAAAGTTAATGTAAATACGAGTAATTATGCAACTCAAAAATACAAATGATTTAACAATTTAAGTTACTAAAGAAAAGAAAAGAGAAGTATTTACACACATAATTAGACCCACCACTCAATCAATACCATATGTCGGTATTTCATTCTAAAAAGGGGGAAATATGATGATAAGGGGCATAATTATGTTAGGTCGCGTTGTGTTGATGTGATAGTATTGTTATGCTTGATTGGGATATAATTGTTTGGTAATATGAAAAATTAAGGATGGTTGGTGTGAATTGTTAAAGCTTGAGAGACCTTGTGTAGGTTAGATCTATGAAAATATTTCATGATGATAAGGGAGTAGGATTATGCTCGAAATCCGAGTGTGGGTTGGACCTATTACAATACATGAAATTGAATCCTGTATGGCTTGTATATATTCAATATGGTATGCATCATATCACGTGCATCATGTGCATAGTGGGTGGTGTAAAACAAATCAATTGATTGAGAAATGGTCTATACATCTAGGCTTGATAACCTAACTAGAATAGATGAGTATTAGTAGTCCAAGTACTCTAGGTTGTGTGCCCGCACTATTAGACGATGGACTCCCGTTAATAGTAGTTACAACGAGGGATAATTCCGTTGTAATAGAAGATGATCCGAGGATCATCTCGGATGTAATCAAGTCGTGTGCTTGCACTCGTTAGATGATGGATTTCCGCTAACGGTAGTTACAATGAGAGATAATTTCGTTATAGCAGAAGGTGATTTGGGGACCACCCGGAGATAAATAGAGTAGATCGGCTAATACCTAAGGTACCCGATATTAAAATTTATGAGTATGGTGGGAAGTCAAAACAACATTGCATATCACATGCATCACCCACTTACCGAGCTTCGGCTCACCCCGTTGTTATTTTTATGTCGTGACAGGAAAATGACAAGTTGGTACGGATGCGGCCGGCTCCTTCTAATTGGCTCATGTGAGGCACTATATATTAGTTTTTATTTTATCCGTAAATTTGGGGTATAGAGTTTATGAGTAATCGAATATTGCTCGTAATGTTTTGTTAATGTATATAATTATGTTATGTAAATTTTATCTTAAGGAGTTATATACGTAATGTGCTCGTTAAAGTTTTAAGAATGTCATAAGAGAACTATTTAGAGTTTAGGGTATGTTAGCGTAACGCACTTCGTCCAGTACTCTACTCGGGTAGTAGTAATATGACCGGGGCGGAGGCGTTACAATATATATATATATATATATATATATATATATATATATATATATATAAAGAAAAAAAGAAAAAATATATATAAAGAAAAAAACAAAATATATTTATAATATAGAAAGAAAAAACAAAAGAATTAAAAAAGTATATATATGTGTGTGGAAAAACAAAACATAATCTTGTTCAAAGGGTAATCTTTGTGTTGTAACATGATCGCTTGGCTCGTGATTTTGTGCACGAAGGTTCTAGACTCTATCCATATAAATAAATCATCATCTCAATTAAAAAAAAAAGGGGCGAGTCGGTGGCTAGCTGGCGCTAGCGCATATATATAGATACACA